TTTATTTTTAGCTAATTCTTCTAGAGAAAATCCACTTTTTTAAATTATAATTTCACAATATTTGACCAAATTTTTTTTAAAAAAAATCACATTATTTAGATGTCTTTAATAAAATTTCGAAAAAAAAGTAACCATTAATGCTAATCCGTGAAAAGTAAGTAGTAGAGATCCAATTGTTATAGTAGAAAAAACTAAGTTTTACGTGATTGAAACAACATATAAACATGTTATTAAATAAAAAAATTTTGATAAATGTTACTTTTGAAATGTCATTTTTTTAAAATGCCATTTTTCAAAAAAAATTATAAATACTACTTTTTCAAAATCATTTACTCAATATATTATTTATGTTTGGGTTAACTATGTTGTATTATAGTTTTGAGAGTTTAAAGTTTGTTAGGGTTCAAACATTTTAAAAAAAAATAGATAACTCATGGTAACGTTTTGAAACTAAACAAACCAAAAAATGATATTTTTGCAATTCTTCCTATTAAATATGCATGCGTAGTTCATCAATAAAAATAGACAATAGTAAAAAAAAATCATAATTTATGTAATCTGTGGACAAATCTCTGAAACTTAAAAAGATTTCCTCTGCCATGAAGTATCCTACCTCAACCTACACATAAAGCCATGATGTATTGATAACAAGGAAATGAGACGAGTCACGTGATGATATATGTTAATTTAGTAATTGATTATGTTAAAGTTGGAATTTAAAAGAAAATATAACATGTAAAATTGACAATGAATGTGAATAAATGAGCGGTGTGTATAAGTGTTTTTTTGTTTGTTTGGTGGTGGGGAGGTTTCACTTTGTTGGTCTGACCATGTGACTCGAGAATCAATAAACACATTCATCGACATAGTTTCAGTAAACACGCCCCATAAAGTTTTCAGTGACAATATCTCTCCACACCCTCACATGTTACTTTTATTAAATATTTTCCTCTTATATGTTTTGTTAGATTATTGACTCAAAATCATCGATTAACAAATAGTGGATTGATTTATGTATCACTTATATATTAGTTTAGATTTTTTTTTTTTTAAACCTTTCGACCAAACAAAAAAAAAGACATAATAAAACCAACTCCGTGTATTAAGTATCAACCACTATCCTACCACATTGTAGGTATTATCCATGCATCTTCAACTGATAAAAAATACATAAGATAATGAGGGAAAATAAAAAAAAGTTTATTGTGAGACATATTCAGATCAGATAATGAAAAGAAAATCAAGTAAAAAACTCCTCGAATCTTTGATCTTTAATAAAACCAAGTGATGTGTTACTCTGTTTATCTGCACG